GGCTGATGTGGGGGACATAGAAATTATTTTGATATGGGACTGAGGAGGAAGGAGAGGCAAGATGCAAAGCTAACTGAGATCAGACAGCTGCTGGGTAGTAAAGGACATGGTCGAGGCCGAGTGAGAGCTATAGCAACTAAAAGTGCTAGGGGAGATGCACCAGATGATGCATGAGTTGAGCCTGAGGGATAGGGCTCAGTCTACTTTGTCTTCTAAGGGTCCTTTTATTGATCACTTTGATATTATGTTTCATTTTATGTTTTAGTTGATGTTTTTAGTTTATGTTTAGGAATGACCAATCTTTTGCTTGTCTTGTAGCCAATTTTTGTAATATATATAGATGGTTACTTATTTTCTTGAGCATTTTTCTTGTATTATGGGTTGATTGTTAAATATCTTAATAGTAATTTTATTAGCAAATGACAATCACAATTAAAGAATGATTAGTTAAGCTTGAGATTTGAAAGTATTGAAGCACTAGATATAACTAATTTCTATATTTTTGGTATCTCATGTTGTGTTACCTTAAGAACTCAACTTTAGTACACGTCCATATTGTACCAAGTTGGGAGTTCATTAGGTATATTGCCTCGGAGGCAAATAGTGGAGATGCAAAGACCTAAGTGAGTTTTGGGCTTATCATTGTTGGAGTGTTTATGTACATTTACTCTTTAATTGACTATCTTTTTTGTTAGTTCTTTTAATGATCTCATGTTTTTTTATTTGATTAACATTGATGTATTGAATGACTTCTTGACCTTGAATTGCATGCATGAGAAAGTGTGTTGCTAAGAAACTCTTGGAAAATGATCTTAGGCCTTTTTGTTTTTATCATTCAAGCCTTAGTCCTATTCTTCGCATATCTTTGTCTTTAGAAGTCGTGTTTGAGCCTAATAATAAGATATTTTCATTTCTTGGGCCACATCATATATAATCAAGCTTAGTATAGGAAGAATATCATACATCTTTGGTTATCCCAAGTTGGAGCATTGAATGTTTATACATATGTTGTGGGGAAGATGTTGGTTTGGGAATGAGTTGTTCTTATCTTCTTTTTTATTTAAAAAAAAAAGGAAAAAAAGTTTACCTTTTCAAAGAGCAATAAAAGGAAAAGAAAAGAAAAAAGAAAGAGAAATTTGGAAAAAAAAATTAAATGCAATGTGCTTCTAGTAACAAAGTGGTGAAAGGTTGTAAAACTATATTGAGAATGGTTCTGTAATCTAATGTTTTATCTTGGGATAACATTTTGAACTCTTGAATATCTTTCATTTCATCAAACTTTAACCCTAAGGCCTCTTTACAACCTAGTAAAGTCCTTTTTTTTTTAATCCCAAAGAGTGTATTGGTTTTGGGTGGCTTGTGTGGGTGAGGATAGAGATAGAGGTTGTTTGCATGCTATTTGTTGATTTCTTTTCATGAGATCATGCTAAAATTCTTCTTCTCATTTATCATTTATTGTATCTAACATGTGGGCGCTATCTTGTTTTGAGTTAAATATCTCCTACTCACATGTGATATATGAGTGTTGAGCTACTATAATCTAAGAGATCCTTTTAGAGGACATACCTTGTGAGGCTTGGCATTGAAAGGGTGAGCATTTGGTGGATTGCTGATTTGGTACAATCATTTCACACTACACACGAGTTTTCATGGTAACTTTATAGGTGTACATTTTCATATAGCGATGTGCTCTATATCTTGATTTGCAAATGCTTATTGATTGCATATGACTATAAGTTTTTGGATTGGGATGCTTTATTTGTATTATGAAATTATTATTTTGATATTCAATGACATTTGATGTTTGTGGATAGCATCACTGTAAACCTTCACAAGACTACACTCGTCCACTAGGGATCACTTAGGGGTTTAAAGGCTTGTTTTTTTTTTTTGGGAGGGTGAAAGGGGATTTGAACTCTTAATCTCAAGAAGTCAAAGCCTTCACAAGGAGTTTAGATCCTTAGTAGCCATCCATTGATCCTGATTATCTAGATCTAAAGGCTTGTTGCATGGGCTAAAAAAGTGAGATTAATGCTACATTTGATTCTATCTTTATTTAATTTGAGTTTTTCTATTTTGAATGAGAAATGGCAATATTAGGAGGCAAATAGGCAAATATGGGAGTGGAATACACAAAGGAAAGGAGAAAATTGAAAAATCAAGTTTTGAAGGCCAAGTTCGGACATCAATTATCCATGTTTGGATGTGAGGTGATCGGGCTCAGCTCCCGAAATTCCACATTCAGACATCATAAATTAATATTTGGACGTTTGTTGAACAGCTTGTCATCTTCGGATGTCATAAAAGTCATGTCTAGATGCGTGTGTTTGCTCCCAACCAATCAGCAAAGCCCGAATGACGCGAGAATGGCTTCATCTTCTTCTTCAAAGAAAGTACCTTGGTACTTTTTGGCAAGTAGTTTTTAGGGTTTATACTAGTTCGGGTAAATTTTCTATACTTAGATTAATTTTTATGACTTCTTCCTCTTTGATAGTTGGCTAAACTCTCTTACTAAGGTTAGTGGAGAACATTTGGGTATGTAAATTAAATCCAAAATTCTTCATTTAAGGTTTTCTTTGGTAATACAATCCCTCTCTTATTTTAGCAAAGCTTTCTCTCTATATAATCTCTTGAATTGTTATGCTATATATGTGATGAATGCTTAAGATTCCCTATGAGTTGAATAGCTACATATACATGCCTTGGTTCAATTGTTGGATATTGCCTTTAATTAATTGATTTGTTGGTTTCTATGGAATTTGGGTATTTAATTATTCAATTGCCTGACTTATGATAGATTCCGAACTTGGTGAATGCTTGTAATTGATGATTAGATGTTCAGATTCATTTAGGTTAACTCTTTGATTATAAATTAGATAATTTCCTAATTAATCATTGTCAAATCATCCAATTGGGTTCACACCTTACTTGATTCCCAAATCACTCTCTCAAACATTCACATATATTTCTTTCATTAATCATTTTTCAAACTCCAAGATTTAGTACTTGCTTGACAACCTATACTTGGGTTTACAACTTCCCAGATGAAGCAACTCTCTCTGCAAAATTTGGCTCCACGTAAGATTATTTCCTTGAGTATGAGCTAACTTCAAAATATTCCCAGAAATAGGCCCAGGCCCACCTGTAATCTGGAGAGTCCTATTCAGATATAAGATAATGGGAAGTGAGTACTATTTTCAAAACTTATTTGACTTTAATTATCACCTCTAAACTTATCCTCCTTTTAGTCCTTTTTTTCATCAAGAAGTTGTTTATAAGTACACATTTTAAAACATTTTTAAATTTTTTCTAAAATGTATTCCATTATTACCTCTACTATAAATAGTGCATACCTAATTGACAAATTTTATATTTCCAATATTTGAATATTAGAATGTGAGACTTTCAAGATTTCTTTTGATATTTGTGTATCATTTGAATTTTAAAATTTCACACACACACACACACACACATATAGTAATATCAAACAGTAACACGTTCAACAAAAAAATAATAACATCAAACAATAGTTTAGTTGTCACTCTTTGTTGACAATACTTGGGCACTATCAAGGGGGCTTTACATAATGCCATTGATGACACTGTTTGCATGACAATTTTTCGAGTCCCTCTTTACGTGCAACTCTTTGAGTGAGTAAATATATATTGTCATCATTTATGGTCAATCTATTGTTGTCACTGTTTACTGACACTACTTGAGCACTATTAAGGGGGCATTACATGATGCCATTGATTGGACCCCCATTGTCAATAGCTCGTGTCTCTCTTTGGTGCCATTATTTGTATGACAATTTTTCAAATTCCTCTTTAGGTGCAACTTTTTGAGTGAACAAATATATATTGTCATCATTTAGGGTCAATCTATTGTTGTCACTTTTTACTGACATTACTTGAGCACTATCAAGAGGGCATTACATGATGCCATCGATTGGACCTCCATTGTCATTATCTCGTGTCTCTCTTTGGTGACACTGTTTGCATGATAATTTTTCGAGTCCCTCTTTAGGTGCAACTCTTTGAGTGGTCAAATATATATTGTCATTATTTAGGATAAATCTATTGTTTTCACTCTTTACTAACACTATTTGGGCACTATCAAGGTGGCATTACATGATGTCATTGATTGGACCCTCATTGTCATTATATCGTGTCTCTCTTTGTTGACATTGTTTGCATGACAATTTTTCGAGTCCCTCTTTAGGTGCAACTCTTTGAGTGGACAAATATATATTGTCATCATTTATAGTCAATCAATTGTTGTCACTCTTTACTAACACTACTTGGACATTATCAAGGGGGCATTACATGATGCCATTGATTGGAATCCCATTGTTATTATCTCGTGTCTCTCTTTGGTGTCACTCTTTGCATGACAATTTTTCAAGTCTCTTTATGTACAATTCTTTAAGTGGGCAAATATATATGTTACTATATATATATATAATTTCAAAATTCAAATGATACACAAATATCAAAAGGAATCTTGAAATTCTCACATTCTAGTCTTGAAAATCTCACATTCAATTAGGTATGCACTATTTATGGTAGGGGTAAAAGGGCATTTATGACTTTTTTTAGTAGATGCACTTCTATCTCAATAATTTTAAAAAGTGTACTTTTATCTTGTTAATTTTTTAGGGAGGTACCGGCCTCCCTAAGTCTCTTCGGATATTTAAGGTGTGCAGATCTCAGATTAATATTAGGGGGTTGGGATTTAAGCCCACTACCACTTGGCTCACTATTATTGGAAAACACACCACTTACATCTGTAACACTTCCAGGTTGGACCAAATTACCCTTAACCACTAGCACATGTTTGTCACCTGCTACTATAATCGCCTCTACTGGCAAATGCTCATCACCTACTGCTGTAATCGCCCTTGTATCTACCAGAAAACTATAAGTCGCATTGCCTTCCATTGAAAACTCATAAGATACTTTAGGCATAGTTTGCGCAAAACATCTATTTTGCCCCTTCCCCTAGCAAACTATTTCCTGAGAGTTGCCTTTCATAGCATGCTTGATCCTCCTAATCTCAGTCATTACTTTAGCTATGTGACAAGTAGCTTCTTCAGAATTAATCACTTGATCACTAAGAACAGTCCTTTGTTCCACATCATGATTCCCATAGTTCATCAACGAAAAAATATCATTTGTCTTTGAAGTAAGAATCTCACCTTCCTTAACCTCTGGAGTTACATTAGAGTCATCTAGTTTGTCCTGAATGACCAGTTCATCCTTTTTCATATTCTTAAAAACATCAAACCAAGAAATCTTTCTAGGATCTTAGTAGAAATAGGCACAAAATCCACATCTCCAACACAATTCCTACTCGTATTCATTTTCAAAGCATTATGCTTACCAGAATTACCTCCTCATTTTATTAGACATGGTAGATCTTACAAACTCTGAAAAATAATGTAAAAAAACTAATAGAAAAAATTGAAAGTGCCTCTCAGTACAAGAGAAGTCATAAATAAATAAATAAATAAATATATATATATATATATATACCAAGTGGTCTAGGGTAGGTTTAAGAGGAAGTCCTTGCTAAAAAGGAGTTTATAGCTCGAATTCTATGCATCAGGATCAAAAAGGCGCGTCCAGATAGTAAAGGAACAGTTAAAACTCTTTGGACCTAAATGCATAGGCATGTTCAAATAGGAAAGGAACGTCTGAACGGGAAATTTGCATCCGAACAGTGCTGAGTCTCTAGAAAATCTTGGGTAGTTGCTTCGAGATGGAAGATTTGCATCTGAACGGTCTTCTTACCTTGAAAATCGTACATCTTCATTTGAGGACATCAAAATACATTCTTGTAAAGTAAACAGCAGGAATGCAAAGTGACAAGTGAATTAAAATCAAATCTGGAAGACGAATTGAACACTAGACTTAGCACTCAATGAAAGTAATAAAAGATCATCGGAGTGATGTGTTACCAAAAAAGTAAAATTGCTCAGAAGAAAAAAACAAGTAAATAGATAGGTTGGCTTTATAAAGAGTTTTTGTGGTTGATCATGTGATCCTTTTTCTGTGGCCTAGCCTCTACTATTTATAGAGATGAGTCTCAACCATTGATCTATCTTTTTCAGCCACTACTTGTGATCCAGACCATGTCCCTTGAGATATGTAAATGTATGTTGAACTGTCTCCAACTAGTGGCTCATGATGTCACATTTCCTCATTTCCTAGGATCCTAAGAGTCCTACTCTTCTAATTGCTTTGTCAATTATGTCCTCACACAAACTCCCTTGTGACCATCGAATCCCTTCCATGTGTTACCTTCTAATTTTGGGTGTAAACAACTATATATTATAAAATGGAATTAACCATCAGCGGTTCAAACTTTGTTGGATCCATTAACATCTTTCAAACCAATTAAAAATTTTAAAAGGTGCCAGATATCAACACAAAGCGTTAGCCTGCAATTGGTGAGATTAAAATAGAGATAGTACTAATCTGAATAACCTATATTTGTAGTACTTGTGTCATTCAATTCCATCGTCAGTCCTATATAGACTATTTAAGGTTTCTTAATTTTTTTTCCTAGTTTATGGATTAAAAAATATTTTTCCTTGAGAATATAGTAGCATTCACACGTCTTTATTTGGTGAAATTATTTAACGTGCTTGAAGCTCCAAGGCACAAAGAAGAACCTAGAAGCCACCTTGCGTCTCGCTACAGTCACTTGAACAGTCACAATTTTAGAACCCCACATGGTTCGAGTTCGTACATGCTTAGATTTTAAGTCCACATGGACTTTGGCACTCCTAGTAGTACCATCAGGGAGACAGAATGGCGAACACTTAAGGTAAGGCCAAAATTGGCTCATCTAAAGTGCCTCCACCTCTCAAAGTTCACGCTCAATTCTACTGCACTAAGGCAAAAGTTGCTATGGCCGATTTGGTTAGGTTGTGCCAAATGGCTAGGGTGTCGTCAGATCAGTACATTGTGCGGTTTAAGAAGGCTACAAACTAATGTAGTTTAGTGTTGTCCAAGTGGAGTATATATGGATCGCATAGAAAGGCTTGGGGTCGATCTTCGAAAAAATTTCAAAGGGATGGAGTTCAATGACTTGTTCAAGCTAGCCACACTAGCTATACAAAATGAACACATCCTAAGAGAAGAATTGGATCGAGGAAATGCATCCAAGGAAACATACTATAGAGACCCCAAGACTAAGATCTTTATGGTCGAGCCAGACTAGGAGCTGGAGGTGAACACGACAGAGATTGTGATAAGACGGTCACATGTGTGCAAGGCTTTAACTAAGCCTCCAAAAAATCAAGCACAGGCCGTGTCGAATGCGAATAAAGGTACTAGCGACAGAAGCAACCGAAAGTACGACTTCAACATTTCTAAGGCCGATCAAATTTTTGACCATCTTCTTGTTGACGACATTATCAAGCTGTCTTTTGGTTATAAGATTCGATTGGCCATATAGCTGAAGAATAAGACATATTGTAAATGGCACCATTTGTGGAGCCATTCTATTGCAAGCTATGTGGTGCTTTAGAACACCATTAAAGATAATCTGAGTAAGGGTCACTTGATCTTTAGAGACAAGAGAAAGCTAGATATAGGGTTCGATAAAGATCCTTTTCAAAAGATAGACGCCATTAACATGGTGGAAGTGGGACAGTCAAAAACTCCCATAGTTGACTTGGACGAGGATAGGTCAATAGATGATAAAAGCTAAGGGGAAAGAAGGATAATGCACCCTAGGATGAATCATCAGATGAGGAATTTGGGGGTGGACAATGCATATCACCGGGACTCCAGGAGTAGCTTGACATTGCCAAGAACAATTTATGTTCCAGGTGTAAAGCTTTTTACAAGATAATTATGATGTTTGAAGTTGTCAAAGTGGAGCGAGCTAAGTCGTCCAAGAGGCCACAGAAGAAATGACACTACAAGAGAACCCACTCGGAATGGTCACGTTAGTGGTCGCTACCTAAGCAAGGCAAGGAGGATTGATTTGGAAATTTTATGAGGTTAAGCTACAAAGGACATGACAAAGTCGTCCAAGACCGAAGTATGATGAGTACGCCACAAGGTTGGGGCCTGATCTACCCACAAGGACAGAGGGTTATCAAGATCGACCAAGGATGGTGAAACTAACCAAGCCACTAGAGGGTCATTGGTATGTACCCCATCACCCAAAGTTCCCGTTATACTATTAGTGTCAACCACTGTCGAGATCATAGAAGCGCAGGAAGTAGTGCATATAGGTAGAACTACGTAGGTGCGAAGAAGAAGAGAAAGTTTAGGCTCGAGAAGCCCGAGAGACAATTCATCGTTTAGAGCTTGAGATTGGGGAGACTAAATCCCAATTCGTTATATCCCCGCCTCCACAACATCTAGTGGCCTCGAAGAAGGCCACAGCTAAGGAGAAAGGAAAGAAGAAGGTGGAGCTCGAGCCCGCACTAAAGTGAGTTTCAAGGAGCGGATGGTTAAGAGGGTGGTGGAACGAATAAGGATCGCACTCAACATCCCTCTGGGGACTTGCAAGGGAGGGAAGAAATAGGACCCTATAGACCCTACCGATGGAGACGATAGTGATGGAGGCGACTCTATCCAATTTGACATACTTGAGTGATGTCTATTAATGCTCTTGGGTTGTTGCCGACATCATTTAAAAGGGACCTCAAGCAAAATCCCAAGAAGTAGATGCTGAAGATATGGGGATGCCAGGCTCAACATTTTTTGACAAAGATGGAGTNAGTGGCACAGTACTCAAAATGGGTATCCAACATTGAGCCAGTTAAGAAGAAGACCGGCAAGATCAGAGTTTGTTGTGAATACCGCGACCTCAAAATGGCGACTCCCAAAGATAAGTCTGTCATTCCATTGGCAGACCAGCCTATAGATGCAGGTGCTATGAACGCGATCATGTTATTTATGTGGATAGCAACATAGGTTACCATAAGATTTTCATTGCAGNATTAGTGGGACATCGACTACCGATCAGGGAAAGATATATGCCGCTTAAGTAGCTCCCAAGGTTGATGTTCCAAGAAGTAAATTTGTTGGTGAAGGAGGAGATTGAACACCTCATGAAGGCAAAGTGCATCCAGTGGCACAGTACTCAAAATGGGTATCCAACATTGAGCCAGTTAAGAAGAAGACCAACAAGATCAGAGTTTGTTGTGAATACCGCGACCTCAAAATGGCGACTCCCAAAGATAAGTCTGTCATTCCATTGGCAGACCTGCCTATAGATGCAGGCGCTATGAACGCGATCATGTTATTTATGTGGATAGCAACATAGGTTACCATAAGATTTTCATTGCGGAAGAGGATCGGCACAAAACTACTTTCTGATGTCCTAAGTCAATTGGGATGTTCAAATTGAGGGTGATATCGTTCGAACAGAAGAACATTGAAGCCACTTACCAGGGAGCTATGAACACCAACTTCCATTACATGATTAGTAAGATCGTAGAGGTGTACATTGATGACATCATAGTCAAGACTCAAGACTTGAAAAAACATCTTAATGATCTGAAATGAGTCATTGAAAGGATGTGTGTCCATTAGCTAAAAATAACCCCGTTGAAGTGCGCCTTAGGGGTTACAACAAGAAACTTCCTTGGATTCCTAGTGGACAAAAAGGGGATTGAGGTAGACAAGAACAAGGTGAAGGCCATCATAGAGGTCGCGCCTCCAAAGACCTAGAAGGAGCTTTAGTGCCTAATCGCTTAAGTCAATTTTCTTTGGCAATTCATCGCCAATTGTGTANGTGGAGGTTCAGGATCCACTACTCGAAGTCAACCTACATGGGCTGGGGGAGCATCAACCAACATTTTTCAGCAAGCTGCTAGAACTGAATTTTCAAGAATGACTTATACAACTACTGAGAGAATATCGTGACTGCTTTGCCTTGGGTTATGAGGAAATGTCAGAGCTAGACTCGGCATTAGTGGGACATCGACTACCGATCAGGGAAAGATATATGCCGCTTAAGTAGCTCCCAAGGTTGATGTTCCAAGAAGTAAATTTGTTGGTGAAGGAGGAGATTGAACACCTCATGAAGGCAAAGTGCATCCAGTGGCACAGTACTCAAAATGGGTATCCAACATTGAGCCAGTTAAGAAGAAGACCAACAAGATCAGAGTTTGTTGTGAATACCGCGACCTCAAAATGGCGACTCCCAAAGATAAGTCTGTCATTCCATTGGCAGACCTGCCTATAGATGCAGGCGCTATGAACGCGATCATGTTATTTATGTGGATAGCAACATAGGTTAC